CAAAGAATTTGTTGTTATTGGACTTCTGAAAAGTTCAATTTTCTGTGTTCTGGCTATGTTTTCTGCTGCTAATATTTTGTTGTCTCTAAACTTGGTTGTGTGAGAAAATACGGCGTCTCCACCTATGCCTCCATCTTGGCGGAAGTCCCATACTCATCTTTAGAATGAGATTCTCCCCTGAGTACTTATGCAATGTAAATGAAGCAATGCCCATATGTACATATTTTTTAAATGTGGGTAATTCTATTGCTGTAAATATTTAAGACATTCTATTGTGTTTTTGAGTCTTTGTGTTAAACTGGGTTTTGGAAACAATACTTGGACTATGCAGATGGAGTAGTGAATAAAATGGCCATAGGTAAAGACAAGTCCACAAACAGTGCAGAGACAAGTGGTTCTGCCTGTCTTGTAAAGGATGAGCTTTTTCAAGCAAAAGTAAAAATCGCCTTTCCCCAGAAGTATTACATACTTAAAATATCGATTGAGAATGTTTCTCCAAAAACAAACAGAAGCAATCTGTCATAATATGGTTGTGATAAGAAACAAACAAACAAAAAAGCACTAGGAGACATAAAAATATCCATTGTAATTTTTTAAAAAAATCACCAGGAACCAACAAAGTATGGCCATTCCAAAAGAAGGTTCATTGCTTTTGTGCCCACCTGTGTTTTAATTGCACAGACTCATGGGAAAGGATCTGGTTACATCTCATGTGAAAAGTACATGAATCTAACTCAGAAGAATCCTCAAAGGTGAGGAAGCCCAACCCCATCAGCTGCTGATGTGGGAAGCTCACAACACTCCATGGATGTCAGCCATCCTGTATAACACTTTCAGTGACCACCTAATGATAGAACCCAATGTCTTTTTTTTTTAAATTAAAAAAATTTTTAAATTAATTTATTTATTTTTAGAGAGAGGGGAAGGGAAGGAGAAAGAGTGGGAGAGAAACATCAGTGTGTAGTTGCTTCTCATGCATCCCCCACTGGGGACCTGGCCCGAAACCCAGGCATGTGCCCTGAACGGGAATCAAACCGGCAACCCTTTGCTTCACAGGCCCGTGCTCAATCCACCGAGCTACACCAGCCAGGGCCCAATGTCTTTTTTATAGTTACAGAAAGCTCCCCATGATTTACTACTAACCAACCTCTCTAGCTTAGTGTCAGTGACCCTATATTATTCACCCAAAGCTACAGCCACACAAAATAGGTCTCAAGTGTTTATGCACTAAGTCTTTTATTCTTCTCTTTTATTTCTGTTGTCCCTTCTTATCTACAATACCCTATGCCCAACGTACCACTGGTTTACTAAAAGCATGTCCATCCTTAGAGGAATACCACCTTCTTCCTGATGCCTCTCATAGCCCCAGCTATAATGAACCCACCTCTCTTCTGTGCATTTGTTTGTATACCATTCTTTTTGCTATATTGGTTACAGCAGACATTATTACAATCATATACTGTTTCAGATTTCTGGGACAGACACTCGTCCCCTTGCCAGGCACACCTTACAAGACTGTTCACAGGAAATGTCTATTGAACTGAAATATTAAGAAATTACCATTGCTATACATCTATATGTACTTTTTAAACAGCTTTATTACAACCTACCCATTTAAAATATGCAATTCTATGATTTTGGATTATAATCACAAGGTTATAAAACCATTACCACCATCCAATTTTAGAATATTTTTATAACCACAAAAAGAAACCTGGTACTTATTAGCAGTCTCTTTCCTATTGCACTGGTCCTAGGTAACCACTAACCTCTCTGTCTCTATAGATTTGTCTGTTATAGACACTTCATAAAAATGAAAACATACAACATGCGGTCTTTTATGATTGGTTCCTTTCACTTACATAATATATTGCAAGATTCAATTGTGTTATAGCATGTACCAGTACTTGATTCCTTTTTCTTCCATTTGATGAGTCTATCACAGTTTATTTATCCATCATCATTTGGACATTTAAACTGTTTCTACCTTTAAGCTCTTTTACTACTATAAATATTTGTATATTTTTTGTGTGGTCATGTTTCATGTCACTTAGGTATACACATAGGAATGAAATCCTCACCAATGCTTATCACCTGACTTTTTGATTACAGCTATCCTACTTTGTATAAAGTGATATCTCATTGTGGTTTTTATTTGCATTTCCCTACTGACTAATGCTATACTTGCTGGACATTTGTATATCATCTTTAGAGAGATGTCTACTCATATTTTTTCCCCATTAAAATTTTTTTTTTTTTTATTTCTAGAGAGGGGAAGGGAGGGAGAAAGAGAGTAAGAGAAACATCAATAAGTGGTCATCTCTCACATGGCCCCCACTGGGTTCCTGGCCTGTAACCCAGGCATGTGCCTTGACTGGGAATCAAACCTGCAACCCTCTGATTTGCAGGCCTGCGCTCAATCCACCGAGCTATAACAGCCAGGCTTTCCCCCATTTTTAAATTGGGTTATTTATCTTTTAATTATTGATTTGTAAGTTTTTTATATAGCTCAGGTATGTCTTGTCAGATATTTGATTTACAAACATTTTCTCTCATTCTATGGGTTTTCTTTTCACTTTTTTGATGGTTTACTTTATAACACAAGTTCCTAATCTTAATGCAACCCAATTTTTCTCTTTTGTTGCTTATGCTTTTGGTGTTATGTCTAAGAAGCTCTGCCTAACACAAGACTGCAAAGATTTACTTCTACATTTTCTAAGTGTATTCTAGTTTTAGCCATTGAATTTAGATCTTTAATCCATTTTGAGTTAATTTTTGCACATGATCTGAGGAGGGACCCAATCTCATTCTTTTGTGTATAGCTATCCAATTGTTCTAGGACCATTTGTTGAAAAGACTATGAAATAAATGGTCCTAGAATAATGAATGATCTTAGCATTTTTATTGAAAATCAGTTGATCATAAGCACGTGGATTTAATGACTGTCGATTCTAGTCCACTGATCTATAAGCCTACTCTTATGCCAATATCATAGTATTGATTACTATAGCTTTGTAGCAAGTTTAAAATCACGAAGTGTCCTCTAAACTTTACTGTTTTATAAGATTGTTTTTGGCTGTTATGGGTCTCTTGAATTTTCACATGCATTTCAGGAACAGCCTGTCCATTTCTGTAAAAAAGCCACACGGGGCTTTAATAGAGACTGCATTAAATCTGTAGACCAATTTGGTAGTACTACCATCTTAACAATACTAAGTCTTCCAATCTATGAACACGAAATATCCTTCTATTTTTCTTCTTCTTCTTCTTGTTCTCTCTCTCTCTTTTTTGCCAATAGGAAATGCCTTTATTAATGGCCTTGATTCATTCATCATGTAGGGTCCAATGTGAATAAGCAGCCATCTGGCACACTCAACTCTTTCCCAGCTGTGGCTGCCCCTGTGGTCCAGATACCACGCTTCTCTCCATCACACTAAGGAAGCCACCCCTAGCTTCCCAGGAGTTCCGGGGGCACTAAGGGTCAAGACCATCCCAGGATTAGAACCTCAGTCTCCACCATTTTGGCCAGTGCTTTCTAGGGAGAATAAGGCAGGGAGCATGGATGGACAGTTACTTTTTGGTTTCATGATCATTTAAAAACCAGAAAAGACAAGCATTCTATTAAAAAAAAACAAAACAGGAGTCTGAGGAGAGAGGCTGTGGTCCTTCATTTGGGGAATCCCCCTTGAGGCCCAAGCAACTGTGCCCCGAGTTCTGCAAACCAAGCTGCAGTGCTCCAGATGTCCTGTCCAGCCACTGGCCTGACCTGTAGGGCCAGGGCCAGTTCAAGTCCTTTCTTCCAAAAAGCAGTATGTTTTGGATCAGTGATGTGATGGGTGTCTTGCCCACCAGGCACATGAAGAACAGGAGGAGATGAGAGAGACTAGGGCAGTGTACAGGGTGGGAAGCCACAGAAACAGGTGCTGGAAGGACCGCTGTGGGACAGTTCCTAGGCCCACATGTATTGGGCGAGGGCCACCTGCACCTTCTCCTGCAGACTCTCCACATGCACTGGATCCAGAGAGACCACAGGCATCAAGTAGGAATAGCCTGATGCCCTTGAGGCAAGGGTACTAGGTTGGGTCTACCTGCAGGGGCCCCAGCTTGTGCTCCTGGAAGGTACACATCCAGTCCATAAAAACCACAGCAGCCACGGGCGCAGCATGCAGACCAGTGACGGCCAGCAGCTGTGCTGTGTGCAGGTGAAAAAAGATGCAGCAAAGCCTAGGACAATTTCATAGCAAAGAGCTCACTTTAGCTCAGGTGCAGCAGCGCCACCTGGTGGGCCACCAGCAGGTCATGGGAAGAAGGGCCTATGGCCCACCTAACTCCACCTGGCTGAATAGCAGCTGTGCTTGCTGACAGCCCTCACACGTTGTCATGCCTGGCACTACAACCACAACAGCTGCTGGTCTTGAAGCACACGGCCAGGACTCAGGTCTGACACCAGCTGCCTTGGCAAAAGGTTCATGCCCACCCTCACTGCCACAAGCAAGGAGCCCAGGAGCTGATGAATATAGCTAGGTCTTTTTGAACTCACATGCACATCCTTTCATCTTATCGAAGACTTCCATAGTTCCACCTGTTTACTGGGAATGCCTATAATTTGAGTATTAAAATCACTGAGGTTTTCTGAGTGTTCTTTTTCTAAAATGCATTGAAGAAAAAGGTCACCAATGAAACAGATGGTTGTTTTAACTTACATGTAATGCGCATGATTCTATTTTTATATGTAAGTATAAAGTACACATTATGTAATAGCATAGAAAAAACTTTGGAAGAAAATACACCAATTTGTTATAGTGGTTACTTCTGAAAAGGAGGAAGCAATAGGATGGAAAAGAGAAGAACTCGTACTCTTTACTTGCAATTTTTTTTGCCATAAAAATGTTTTCATGTATTTCTGGTATAATTTTAATATGAGTAACAATAAATATAAATATGCCCCAATAAAACTTTTTTCAATACATATCATCCCCAAAGTAAATAACCTGGCTGACCTTGAGATCGCAGGTGGTGTTGAGCAGCAGGTTGGAAGGTTTGAGGTCACGGTGCAGTACGTTTGCTGAATGGATATACTTCAACCCTCTGAGGATCTGGTAAAGAAAATAGCAGATATGGTCGTTGCTGAGGTGTTGTGTCTTCAAGAGCTTGTAGAGATCTGTTTCCATGAGGTCCTGTACTATATATCTGTTTGGACAGGTTAAGGAAGCATACCAAATAGCTGTTCACACTTAGTGAAGCACTGAAAACAAATGAACCCCCACCCTGAACGGTTATTACATCATGAGGACCATGAGGGAAATAAGAAACTCATGAAAACTTGGTATTTCTTTATGGAAAGAATCTGAAATAGTTAACTCCTTATTAGGTTCTGTGAGACCAACGGGCATTATATGTGCTTGATATGACCCATTACTGGCCTAGACCAAGACCTGAAACAGGCTGTTATGAAAACATTGGCCAACCTTGAAACCCTAACCTTTTTGTTCCCAAGTTGTCCACCATCAAAAAGCCCCTCTAAGGCGCTGCTGGAAAGAGCTAGGTGAGGGTGGTACCAGCAAGTATCACACGCCCCCTCCTTTCTTTGGCTCAGCAACAACTTGTAATGTCAATATTCTTTTACCTCCTCCTCCTTCCTTCTTGTTATCATCTTTTTAAAAATCAAACATAAAATTTTTAGAAATATAGGCCTAAAGCACATTCCTATTAAATTCAACTCTTAGTCTATCTACTTGACTCTTCAATTAATGTTAAGATCTTAAATAAATAATTATGAGGAAGTCATACCAAGAAGGATCCTTATGCTAGTTTTGCTCCTCTTGCTTTCTTGCCATGTTATCTAAGCATCTAGAATTTTAGCTATGGCTAATTTCTTTCTCACAGATATTAAATTATAAAAGCCTTCAGCTTTTAACTTCACCATATTATTATTTCATTACTAATGCTTTTTAATTTCTTTTATTCATTCGTGTTAATAATATTGTACATCTCCTCTATATTCACGGTAGATAAGACAGTACGGGATTTAACTGAAACTGACCTGAAACCTTGTTATCTGAAATGAAGATGTGATTTTCATTTTTTAAAAAAATTTTATTTATTTATCTTTAGAGGAGAAGCGAAGGAGAGGGAGAGAAATATCAATGTATGGTTGCCTCTCATGTGTCCCCTGTTGGGAATTGGCATGCAACCCAGGCATGTGCCCTGACTGGGAATCAAACCTCGGTAGTTTGGTTCACAGGCCCTCGCTCAATCCACTGAGCCACACCAGCCAGTGCAAGATGTGATTTTTAAAAGGTAAAGCAGGACAACAGGTGGTAGGGGTAGGGGCAGGGGCTGGAGGCATTTCACTTAAAATATCACTACAACTTAGTAACAGATGTAATTAAAAATGGAAAGGGCTGCCTAGAGATAGTGAACTACCTCTCCCTGAAGAGGCAGAATGCACATTAAGTGAACTGGTAGGAATGCTGCTCTAACCAAAACTGTAAGGTTTTTTTCTGGCAGATCCTCTTCAGTATTTTTAGTGTCTTGATCTTTCAAATGTAGTCTTTACTCAGGCAGCATCCTCTGGACCTGCTTAGTCCAGATTTCTAAACATTGGTCACAGTTAGTAACATAATTTAGAGGTGAATTACCTTAAAGATCATGAGGGCTAATACCTTAATTTTAAAGATGAGAGAGCTGAGATCTAAACCTAAAATGACTTAGTCTAAGATTAGAACAGCCTGGATTGATCAGGTGACATCCAGGGTACTCTCCCTTTCTTATACCCTGTCCATCTTAGTCTATGGTTCTTTCTTTTCCTTTTCACCATAAAAAACAAACTGTATCTTGAAGCCATTATCTGGAGAAAGCATGACTGAAAATGGCATTACCACATTTAAAGGAAATCTTTACTGAAATTAACAAAGAACACTGGATTTGTTAAAAAGACACTAAACATAGAACATAAAATGAATCAGAGAAAAATTTTACATAATGTGAGTATGACAATAAATGGCAAACATATTACAGTGTCCCCTTAAATGTGCTTTATATACTTCTCCTTTACTCTGGTAAATCCATAACATTTCAAATCACATTTAGTCGACAAGGTGACCAAGCAATGGAGTCTGCTGTTTGCAAAGGATACACATCTTTCATTTGCTCAATGGTTGGCGCTCGAATGATATCATTGATACCAATAATGTTCTCATGTCTGAAGCGCAGTAAGATTTTTATCTCCCTCAGGGTTCTCTGGCAGTAGGTCTGGTGCTCAAAAGGACTGATTTTCTTGATAGCTACTCGAACTTTGTTGACATTGTCATAAGCAGAGCTAAAAAAAAGGAAAAGGAGAAAGGAAGAGATTGCATTAAAAACAGTCCTCAGAATTATCTTGGTAGAAAGAATGCAAACTGGTGAAGTATTAAGTGTTTAGCACTCTGGTTAAATACTTGTGTAATACTGTGAAGGCAGCATGTATATTATCCACAAAGAGGCCTCGGGCTAGAGAATATGCAGCAGGAACAATGTAGCAGAGGGCCTGGCCTGGTAACTCTGAGTGTCCATTTTAATAAATCCAGCAACACGGATTTATGCCACACACACACACACAAAAATGTTTTTCTACTGTTTTTAACAAGAGCTGCATTCTAGTAGAGTATAATCTCTTCTGTCTCCAATACAACTTTCTACTGTTGCATTAGATTCCCCTGACTCAAGAGAAACATTCAAATGACCATCAATCATATCTCCACCCCTAACAAAAGTGGACCCAAGAGGACACACCTTGAATGCTTACCTGCAAAATGACACCGCTCTTTCTCTCCTCCCAACCCCCCTGAAGAAATTTAAGCAAGATGTCTGGATAGTCTTATAACAAAACCTGTAACGTACTTTTTGAGAAATACTTTCACAGCCCTGACAAAGGCCCAGTTCCTTCCAAGTTGTCATTAAGGTCTGATTATAACAGAAATGCAAGCAGGAACAATAATTATACTGCATCTTTAATTTTATGTTAAATTTGAATCTTGAATATTACTTCTATCTTTATGATTGGTATTCTACTGGATACTTTTTGTATTTAATAAATATCAACATCTGGTTTATTAATGGAAGCAATGAAATAACACTGACAGGCAATTAAGACATTACTTCTTGTTTCCTCAGGGTAAGCGCTAGAAGTATAAAACACTAAAATAAGTTTACTTCTAGTCTGTGCTTCTTTAATGATATTTATCAGTCTACTTATTCTGAAAATTATTTGATATATTTCATCACAAACAGTGCTATAGCAGAAACCTCATCTTACTCAGCTTCGACTCCCCTACAATAACATTAATAGAGTGTAGAGATAACCCCAATACTTTAAAATGAAATGTATTTCCTTAAATACAAGAATCATTACTCAAATCTTATTTTGCCTTGATTTGCTGAATAAACACCCAAACCACTGATTTGCAGGTAGGCAGGCAAAAGGATACGTTAAATGAGCTTATTCAGTATTGGGAATAAGTAATTTTAGAAATTAAAACTCTCTTTGGGTAATTCAAATCATAGAGCATGAGTTCAACAAAAGGGAGCATCAGTTAATATAGTTGTAAAAGATTGGTTTAAACTCAACACTATAAAATTCTGGTTTTACTAAGACATGGTAGTCAGACACGGCCATGACCACATATATATTTGCTTTCAAGAACAAGACTGTTCAGGTGGCCCTGACTGGTGTGGCTCAGTGGGCTGGGTATTTTACCAGAAATCGAAAGGTTGCCAGTTTGGTTCTGACCAGGGCACAAGCCTGAACTGTGGACCAGGTCCCTGTTTGGGGGCGTGCAACCGACTGATGTTTCTCTCTCACATGGATGTTCCTCTCCCTCTCTTCCCCTCTCTCTATGAATGAATGAATGAAAGAAAGAAATCTTAAAAGACTTGGGAGAGTTTATGGTCAGTGCGCCCTTTCAACTGTATCAACACTCAGTGATAAAATAAAAATCTTGTTTTAAGCAAGAAGGCATTAGATTATTCTCATTGGTTCCCACCTGAAAAGAAGGTATGACCCTATCTATGGAGCTGGGTCTGTTTTTGTCTGTTCTACTACTCCATTCTGCTGGCTTTTTGGTTCACATTATCTGCTGCAGAACTGATCACAAAGAGTTTATACTCTTCCCCAACAACACTGTATTTGCTCATTTCTCCTTGAATTTCTCAGTTTTGTTTTATATTTTTATTGTTCTGATACCTGGCAAATGTATTTTATTGGTATATCTTTTACAACAGATTATTTGGTATTTCTTAATACTGTTTTAAAGAGGGGAAAAAGAGAAGAGAGAAACATCGATCTGTTGCCTTTCTTTGTGCCCCAAACAGGAGACAGAACTGCAACCCAGGCATGTGCCCTGACCAGGAATCAAACCAGTGACCTTTCACTTTGTGGGACAATGCCCAACTGACTGAGCCACACTGGTCAGGACAATGCAGTGTTTGTTTTAAAGTCTCTCTGGTGTTACCAACCCCATTTTCTTTTTTTTGCTCTGAAAACTTGATCTGCTTATCTCCCATCTCCCAACTACTGCCATGCTACAGCTTTTGCTTTAAATCTGAGTCCCATAAACAACCTATGGTTGCAGTTTGGGATCTTAATCCAATCTGTGACTACACTGTTTTTGGGTGGATTAATTTTAGATAACCATATTTTTCTTTTAGCTGATGGACTTGCTCTTTTCAAAAATAGAAATTCAAGGTTAAATAAACTGTTCAAGGTTAAGAGAATGAGGAATTTCCTAACTCATCCCTGTAATGTGAATAATCATTATGAATAAAAAAAGACTTCCAGTCCAAAACGGCAGCATAGGAAGACCCTGAACTCACCTCTTCCCACAAACACATCAAATTTACATTTAAAGACAGATCAATGAGCCCTAAAGAAGAAAGGAGGGCAGACTGAACAGCTTCGGTACAATGGACCAGAGAGAGAGAGACCATATAGAAACAGGCAGGAGAGATGGAGACATGGTATCTTGGGGAACCACATTCCCAAAGCAATGACCTGCAGTAGGGAAGAATCACTAAAGGGCCTATGCACAGACTTGCCTGCCCTGATGTACAATGAATAAATGGTGGTTTAAAGGTCACTTAGACTATACCAGAAGGACATCCAGTTACTAACCCTAGAGTATCTGCCAAATGGGAGGGTAACTGCTGGACCACTTTCTTACACCACATACGTACAAAAACAAACTCAAAATGTGTTTAAAGACTTATATATATAAGACCTGAAACTATAAAACCTCTAGGAGAAAAAAGGCAGTAAATTCTTTGACATTGATCTTAACATTACTGTTTTTAGATGTATCTCCTTGGGTAAAGACAACAAAAGCAACAAAAAACTCATGAAACTACATCAAACTGTAAAGTTTTTGCATAGCAGAAGAAAACTATCCAAAATATGAAAAGGCAACTTATTGAATGGGATATGATATTTTCAGATGATATATATGATTATGGTTAGCACCCAAAAAACATAAAGAACTGATACAACTCAACATCAAATAAACATAGATCCCATTAAAGAAAAACAGGTGAAGGACCTAAACAGAGATTGGCCAACAGACACATGAAGAGGCAACTGATTGATGTTTCTCTCCCTCCTTTCCCGCCTCTCTAAAAATAAATTTAAAAAATTAAAAATACAACTACCATACATGTCTGAGCATTTATCGAAAAATAATGAAAACAATATTTTGAAAAGATATATGTGCCTCTATGTTCACTGCAGCACAGCACTGTTTACAATAGACAAGATATAAAAGCAACCTGGGTGTCCATCGATGGATGAAGTTGTGATACATGTATATAGTGGAATTTACTCAGCCATAAAAAAGAGTGAAATCTTGCCATTGGCAACAACATGAATAGTCCTAGAGAGTAATTATTGCATTAAGTGAAATAAGCTGGACAGAGTAGGACAAATACTGTATGATTTCACTTTATCTATGGAAACAACAACAAAATAAACAACTGAACAAAATGAATCAGAAACAAATTCATAGATAGAGAATAAACTTATTTTATAAAATAAGTCAAGAAATATAATGTACAGCATAGGTCACAGAGTCAATATTGTAGTAACTGTATGGTGGTGACACTAAATGGCTACTAAAGTTAGTATGGTAAGCACTTTGTAAGGCATATAAGTGTTGAATCAATATACTGTGCACCTGAAACTAATATAGTGTTGTATGTCAATTGTAATAAAAAAGAAATGTAAAAATATATAATTGATGACAATAAAAACCAAAACTAAAGAACAATCTCATTTACAAATATAAAAGTAAATAAGTAAATATAATTTGATAACACATTAAAATAATTAAGTCTAAGTAACAGTTTATCTTAGGAACTCAAGAATGGTTCAGTTAAAAAGAAACATTAAAAACAAGACATGTCAAATAGTTATTCCTCCAAAGATGACACACAGATGGCCAACAAGCATATAAAAAGTTGCTTAACATCATTATTTTGAGAAATGCAAACTAGAAGCACAACAAGCAATCACTGCACACCATAAGGACTGCCACTTAAAAAAAAAGTGTTAGGATGTGGAGACAGCTGGAATCCTTGTGCACTGTTGGTCAAGTAAAATGGCCCAGCCACTATGAAAAGCAGAATGGAAGTTCCTCAAAAAATTAAACGTAAAATTATCATACAATCCAGCAATCCCACTTAATGGGTATATACCCAAAAGAATTCAAAACAGGATTTCGAAGAACATTAGTGCACTGATGTTCTCTACAACATTATTCACAAGAGCCAAGAAGTGAAGCAAGTCAAATACCCATTGATAAATGGATAAAAAAAGAAAATGTGGTATACACACACACCAGAATATTATTCAGCCCTAAAAAAGAAGGAAATTCTACCACATGCTACAACATAGATGAATCTGAGGACATGGTAAGTGAAATAAACCAGTCTCAAAAAGAAAATACTGCATGAGCCCATTCATATGGCATCTGAAGCTGTCAAACTCATAGAATCAGAAAGTAGCATGGTAGTTACCAAGGACTGAGAGGATAGGAAAATGAGGAGATAGTGTTCAAGGGTACAGTTTTAGTCTTTCAAGATGGTAAAGTTCTTATGACACATGGACATGAACTAACGGGGGGGGGGGGGATGTGGGTGGGAGGAAGTGTGCAGGGTGGAGGGGAATGAAGGGGGAAATGGGACAATTGTAATAGCATAATCAATAAAATATATTTAAAAGAAGATGGTAGCTCAGTGGATTGAGCACAGACCTGCGAACCACATGATCGTGGTTCGATTCCCAGTCAGGGCACA